AAAAAAAGATTATTGCTTCACTATGCCTACCAATCCAAGATGGTTGTTATAAACTCTGCCTAGTCTGTTTCCTGCTTTGCAAGATCCTCCTTAAAATCACCCAGTTGAGGTCCTAACATCCTATAAATATCCTCCCCTGACTTTCATCTTCTGTGAAATTATCATGACTTTGTCAAGTTGGCATTCTTAATGCAGTAAGTCTATCAAATTTAGCTTTACTTGATAAATAGCTTTTCAGGCAGTCTTTTGGAAGGTCTCTACTCAACAGAAGTAACCTTGAGGGTGCCACTTTATGTCTCCTACAAAACCTACTGTAAAGCTCTTTCTCTGGTCCCACTCCAGGGAAGATGCTAAAATTGGGGTGTATGCAATGAAAGCTGAGTATCTTGTTACCTTAAAAACGAGTTACACTGCTCCATAGCCACAGTTCCAGATCCAAGGCCAAAGGATGGTATGATGGGACACTATTAGAAATAAAAATACCTAGGGGCACTTGGGTGGCTCATTCGGTTGAGTGTCCGATGCTTGACTTCGGCTCAGGTCATGATCTCGCAGTTCTTGAGTTCGAGCCCTGTGTTGGGCTCTGCACTGACAGTATGGATCCTGCTTGGGATTCTCTCTCTTCCTCTCTCTCACTTTCCCTCCCCCACTGTCTCTCTCTCTCAATGTAAGTAAATAAACTTTAAAAAAAAATGCAGAAGTGGCAATGTTACACCTAACGTTCAGTAAGCATCCTCTTCAGGTAGAGCAAAACTCTGCAGTTTGTGCGTTTACTTGAAAGAAATGGTATCCTCGCCCTAGTCTCAAGACCAGGAATTGAAGAGGTGATACATCTTTACCCAATTACTATTACGGAAGAAGGAAACTTTAGTAACTTGAGGCTGTCACTATCAGCTGAACCCTTTACTGTAGGACCTATAGAAACAGTCTGGGTCCTCCACTCACCTTTGCTGAAAGCTGTGGATAACAAAATTCACCTGAGTAAAACTGAGCATCTCATTGGCTTTCTTCATTGATTCTGAATTAGCAGCAGTCCATTCAGCAAGTAGAAAGGCACTCAAAAGGAGCTGTATAAAACAGGCGGCTTTTGTAGACAGAGGGGCTGGGAAGAAAGTTTACTAACAGAGTGGATTATCTCAGACAAGGTTTCTTTTTGTTTGTTTGCTTGTTTTTAAGTTTATTTATTTATTTCGATAGAGACCATGCAAAATGGGGAGGGGCAGAGAGAGAAGGAGAGAGAGAATCCCAAGCAGGCTCACTGCTGTCAGCTTAGAGCCCAACACAGGGCTCCATCTCATGAACCATGACACTGTGACCTGAGCCGAAATCGAGTCAGACACTTAACCCACTGAGCCACTCCGTGGCCCTCAGACAAGGTTTCTTTGGTGGGGGGGTGTCTCTCATGCCGATGACCTCACTGGTACTGACCAGGTAACCTCAGATGAACTGGTTAAAAGTTACCTTCCTGGGAATCTCTGAAACTGCAATTCAGTCTTGGTTTGCTGTTGGGGGCAAGTGACTCTGTTTTGGGTCTGTTGTTCCTTTCTGAACAATGTGAATGTCTTTTTAGTATCTCAGAAGTACACCTAGCAGTTGAGCAGCCAAAGGTGCTTGGAAATTCCAATGTCCATAAGTATTAAAATGTTGAGTTTTTAAACTTTGGCTAATATATAATTATTATATATTATAAACTAATTCTATAATTTTAAAATAAAATAATAATTAAAATCTGCACTTGAAGAAAATGTGTTTATGGTATAACTCTGGTACACACAATTAAAAGTTTTAAGGTATTGCCAAATTTTTATCCAAAATGTAGTTACTAATGTATATAGTATGTACCAATATGTATATTTTAAGGCTCTGGAAATACACTGCCTAATAGTTCTCCAGAAAACATGAGCCAGTTGATTCTCTCCCAACACTGAAGAATAATGCCCATTTATCTGTTAAAGGAGAATTTTTCAAAGAAGTTATAATCATGATTATCCTACAAATATAAAATGAACATATGTCAAAGATTTTTTTAACTCCTTAATTAATGAGGGTACCACTAACATGTTATAGCTAGTTCAAAAAAATTTTTTTTAATGTTTATTTATTTTTGAGACAGAGACAGAGCACGAACTGGGGAGAGGCAGAGAGAGAGGGAGACACAGAATCTGAAACAGGCTCCAGGCTCTGAGCTGTCAGCACAGAGCCCGATGCAGGGCTTAAACAGACTGCAAGATCATGCCCTGAACCGAAGTTGGACACTTAACCAACTGAGCCACCCAGGTGCCCCTGTTATAGGTAGTTCAAAGGAGAATATAACCCATCCTCCTATCCAACCATCTGTCCATCCATCTATACATTCATTAATCTACTTACTCCAGTGGTTCTTAACCCAGGGCAGTTCTGTCCCCAGAGAACATTTGGAAATGTCTGGAGACATTTGGGGCTATATAACTGGGGGGATGTTTCTGGCAGCCTACAACATACAGAATCACCCCCAACAAATAAGTTACCTAAAATGTCAGTAGTGCCAAGGTTGAGAATCCCTCATCTGCCTCATCCAATCATTTACCCCTCCATACACCCACACCCATCTATTTTTTTAAGTATTTTTTTGAGAGAGAGACAGCATGAGTGGGGAAGGGGCAGACAGAGAGGAAGAGAGAGGGAGAATCCCAAGCAGGCTCTACATTGTCAGCGCAAAGCCCAGCACAGGGCTCAAGTTCACGAAACTGTGAGATCATGACCTGAGTCAGCAAACTGACTGAGCCACCTAGGTGCCCCACATACCCATCTATTTCAATGTTTATGGAGCACCTGTCCCAGTGTCTGTCTTGACTGCAAATCAGAATCACCTGTGCACACATACAACATACATGTGCACAGGTACTCCCTTTGAGTATTTGGATTTTTATAACCAAAAACTATGGAAGCTTGTGAATTGAAAGTTAATCAGCAGAGAAGCTTCTATGCTTGTTTCTAAGACAGTATATATTAAATAATTGCTAAGATTAAACGAAAATTTATCACCATATTGATCAGCGAACATACCAAAGGTGAAAACCAAATAAATGTCCAGGACTCCTTCCACCAGGGTAGTGTCAACTGAGTGTACACATTAGAAACACTTGGGAGCTTTTAAAAAATACTGATGCCCAGATCCCAGCAACTCTGATTTAATTGGTCGAGGATGTGCCCCAGGCATCAAGATTTTTATAAAAGCACTCTAGATGATTATAATGTGCAACCAGGGATAAGAACAGCTGTGTCATGGAGGGCCTGAGTGGCTCAGTCGGTTAAGCGTCCTGACTCTTGACTTTGGATCAGGTCATGATCTCATGGTTCATGGGATCAAGCCCTGAGTCAGGCTCTGTGCTCAAAGCATGGAGCCTGCTTGGGATTCTTTCTTTTGCCTCTTTCTTTGCCTCTTTCCTACTTTCTCTTTCCCTCCCCCCACCTGAATATAAACATTTTTAAAAAAAGAACAGCTGCCTCAGAACTCAAAAAAAAATGCACTTCTCTTTTTCTTTATTGGCTAATTTTTTTTCCATGTTCATAGCACAGTTTTTTTTTTTCTTTCTCAATTTAGAGTCTAATCTTAAAATAATGTTTGAGTTAATCTGAATCCTCTTTGCCCTTGGGTTCTTGGCTTGCTTTATTTTGTGTGTGTGGGATTGACCTAGAATCACAGGCCCCCAGTATTGTGGGATTGCCAACCATCAAGGGAAGGGCTCTTAGGCCATCTTCTGCTTCTGGAGCTTTTCAAGAAAGTGGCATTGGCAGAAGACCATGAGGCCTGTTCTAGGAGCTAATTATACATCTTTACTAATATTAGAATACTCAGGCAGATGGTAACAAAATTTAGGTGAAAAGATTTAAAGGAATAGAAACACCTAAATACCATTAGATGTTCCTTTCACTAACATCCAGTCTTGTGCTGGAGAAGACCCTGGTTTCGTGCCAGGTTTGAGAAAAGTCACGTTTCAGGTTCAAACTCTTTCTTAGCTTTGGACACCATTGCTGCTGCCACCACCATGTTTCTCTGTAGCTCTGGGCTCTTTAATGCTCTTCTTAGGTGCCAAAACTCCCATTCTTTTCTGAGACTGTCACTCCAACAGAAGGGATTCTTACCTTATATGGTTCCTGCCTATATACAGGGAACAGGAATAACAACAGATACTTATGGAAGGCTTTAGACATTGTAAGGTCTTCATAGACCTTATCTCCCATGATCCTTTTAGCATCACTGTAGTGAAGGCAGTGATAGCCTCATCTTTACAGATGTAGAGATTGAGACTCAGAGAAGAGTGCCCAAGGTCCTGGACGCTGAGTGGCAGCATCTGAACTTGGAGTTCTTAGATACGGTGTTGTTTCTCATACACCTGGTCACATATGTGGCCCCATATGTTCTCTCGTTCAGTTTGCCTACTTTCTGCAGAAGGCCAGGGCACAGCCCCATAGCAAATCCTCCCCAAATTTAAGAATAGTACTTGTTTACTCCATACACACACACAATCCCAGCCTCCTAACGCCTTTTATAGCTTTTCTGGATAGAACAGATTCTCCTTCATGTAATAGGAAAATCCCACCTGCGTTCAGAAATCCATCTTTCACAAGCCACTTAGTCATCAAATCACACAGTCATGGCTGGCCTTGAGGGAAGCCTCTTCCCTACATGTAAGATCCCCTTTTTCCTTCTTGCCTTTGCAGATACATTTCTGCAAACAGGGTGTCTCTCCCTTTATTGTTGGATAACTGAGCTGGCAGAAGTGTCTGTCATCTGCTCATAGACAGATTGTTTTTATTAAAATATTTCTAAATTAGATATTTTTGTTAATAAAAGCAATTCATATTTAATAAATTAAAATTTCAAAAGGGAATAACATTGCCTCTAGTTCATCTGGAAGCAACCATTGACCTTTTGACATTTTAATCTTTTTTATTAAAATATAAATTTATCTATGTATAGGATATGTGAATTAGCTTTTCCACACCTGCTTTTACAGAATCACAGAATTTAGATTTAGGAGGAACCCAGAGGCCTCAGAGTCCTGTCTTCCTGTCTTCCTGGTTTGAGGGCTTCTTTCACATGGATCTTCACTGGGGCTGCTCAGACATGGCTTGCATCCTCCAGGGACTGGGGGCCCAATTTGCCCCAAGACCATCCATTCCAGGTTTGGAAACTTCATCTTGTTTTTTCCTCCTGAGGGGACAGAAAAATCTCCCCCCACTCCCCATCCTGCAGCCCGTTTTGGACTTCACTTCTCAGATCGAATGTCTCTAATTTCTGTGACTATCCCTTACTTGACAGTGTTTTCAGAGCCTCTCATTGATGCTGGTCACCCTCCCCTGGGCTAAAACTGTCCAGCTAAAACTCTGCCTCCAGCCCCCAACATGAAGTTCCAAGTGCAGCATGGCAGACGTGGTATACAGTGGGACTACTACTTCCCTGACCCAAGACGCTTGACATCCAGTAACACCACCCACAATGACACCAGGTATATTTTTAGCAACTATTTTTTTCTACCGTCAGCTTTTGGATTGGTCTTTAAAGGCCATCAGAATCAGGATTAATTAGAGAAAGATAATGTCCTAGCCATGTGGACATGCTGCCTTTCAAATTCAAAATCCATTTTGGGGAGTGGAAAGGGAGCCCAACATTTGGGGGGGTGTATGTTTGTATGTTGATCATCTATCATACATAATGCTGGGCACATTCGTATCTTTATTATTGTTTTGGTTGTTGTTACTGTCATGGCAGTTTCAACTGGTTGAGGCCCTGCTGTGCACTAGACACACATGGTACCAGGATTATTAATCATTGTTTTAACATGTAAAAAAAGGCTGGGAAATTGGACAACTTGCTCCAGGTCCCACGCCAGTAAGATACGGAGTCTCAGTTTAACTTGTATGTTTTGGCCCAAAGCCTGTGCTCTACCCCTATACTGTGTTGCCTCAGAAAAGAGCCTGCTATCAAAAGAGTCAAGTCCAGGAGTGCCAGGCTGGCTTAGTAGGTTGAGCGTCTGACTTCAGCTCAGGTAATGATCTTCAAGTTCACGTTCATGAGTTCAAACCCTGCTTCAGGCTCTGTGCTGATGGCTCAGAGCCTGAAGCCTGCTTTGATTCTGTGTCTCCCTCTCTCTCTTCCCTACCCCCCATTTGCAATCTCTCTCTCTCTTTCTCTCAAAAATAAACATTAAAAAAAAAAGTCAAGTCCAGAGTGAGGCTCCCCAGGCCCAACTGATGGAAGAGCAAGTGGAATGGAACCTCCATGTGATGCCAGAGGACACAACAACAGAGACGTCTGAGCCCTCCAGGTTAAAGATCCTGGAGGAGAGGGAAGGACTACCCAGAGTCCTTTGTCCTATCTTGAATCTCTGCATTTCTGAAAGAAACTTTGGGTGCTATAATAGTCCAATCTTATCCTTTTCATTATACTTTTATAACATATATCATTAAAAATTCTATCAATTATTTTAATGATTTTGTCTTATTTCATTGAAAATCCAACAAAATATAGCAACCATCTTTTTTCCCCTTTGGTTCTATTCATCTGTGTGTGAATTTGTACTTTATTGGGGAGTCCCAGGAAATAGTAGAGAACATGCCTTGTCCCACCAAGGGAGAGGAGGTTAGGGTGCTCATTTACCAACTCGATGGTTGAGTTGCTCCTAAATGTGTTAACTCCCTGGCATTTGGGCCCACTTTGCAGCAAATTAAGTACCTATGGTTGAGAAAGCCTTTATGTAGAAAGCTCCAGTTGCTTTCAGTGGGAACCCATTAGCAGGAATGGCAACTGCATGGGACTATGATCATGGCATGACAGTATCTGCTACAGAAGGTGACATTTAAGCAGAGACTTGAAGGAAGTCAGAAAGTGAGCCATGTGGACATCTGGGAGAATATTTCAGGCAGAGGAAAACAACCAGTACAAAGGTCCTGGGCAGGAGCTGCCTGGCATGTCTGAAGAACAGTAAGGAGGCCCCCATGGCCGGAGCATAGTGAGCAAAGGAGACAAGAGCAGAGAAGAGAGTAAAGCCTAGCAGGCAAGATCATGTAGGGCCATCGAGATGCTTTGAGGAATTGAGTTTCAGTCTGGGAGAAATAGGAACCATGTGACATTTGAAAAGATGTGTGATGTGGTCTAACTTCTATTTCAAAAGGATCAACCAGGCAGCTGATCTGGAAATGGACTATACAAGAGCAGGGAAGGAAGCAAGGACACAGTAAGTTGCTGCAATATCCAGGCAAGAGATGACAATGGCTTAGGTCAGAACAGGGGCAGCAGAAGTGGAAAGTGGTCAGATTTTTAATGTAGTAGGAAGGTAAAGTCCACTGGATTTCTTGATGGATTTGATGTGGGTGCTGGGAAGAAAAGACGAGTATAAAACTACTAAGGATTTAGCCTGAGCAATTGGGCTGAGATTAGGGACACTGTGGGTGGGACATATTTGCGGGACAATTAGGCATTTAGTTTTAAACATGCTGATTTGTAGATGTCTTAATAGACATTCAAATGGAGATGCTGTGTTAACAGTTGGCTATACAGGTTTGGAGCTCAGGAGAGCAGTCTAGGCTAGATATATAAGGTGGAGAATTGGCTATGAGCACTGCTCAAAGCAGGAGACTGGATGAGGTCACCAAGAGAGTGATCTTCCTGGGATCGCCTCCAAATCTGTGATTACATGTATCCCGGCGCTTCTCATTCTGCCTACCATGTCTCTTATCCACACGTTCAATCTTCTCTCCTTCATCCCACTATGCTACATTCCAGCAATTTCTTCAGATCCAACACCCAGGTCAGCAATTCTCTTTTGCTGTTTCTAATCTGTCATTTTAATTTTTGGAACTACATTTTTTTATTCCTACAAGTTTCAGTTTTTAAAAAAATCTGTGATTTATTTAGATAGCCTTTATCATATTGATTCCTACTTTTGTCTTTGTTTAAAACATAACATATATGTTGTATAATCTTTATTCAATAATTTGTTATCTGAAGTTCATAAAAGTCTGACCATGCTCTCATTGTGCCTCCATTATGACAGGTTGTGTTCATACATGCATGTGCAGACATGTTCATGCACGTGTGTGTGTTTAATCTTTGGAGCTCATGTTTACTAGGGTCTTGTGGGAGTGTTGTGTGGCTCGGTAAAGGGCATGTACAGATTTTTTTCTGCTAGATGTTTTATCCTTGGGCTAATTTTTACCCTAATTCCTCAGCCTGGTGGTTCCTGGACACAGTGTAAATCTGAATCCCAAACCTGTGCATGGTTGCAAATTCTTCCAGGACCTGTCCCCCTTCATCCCTGGAAAATTTTCCCCTGAAAGTGGGGAAACTTTTTCTAGCTTACTTCTTCGTGAAGGATGAAGCCTTCAAAGTGCCAGCTTTATGCAGAAGTCCCACTTCCAACTCCCTATGGGCCATGGGCCAGAGCCTTATTTCTCACATGTATGTGCACATTAACACTCAAGGGCAATAATCCACGCACAACCTTCCTATCCCTAGCAGCCACAGCTAGTCCCCATGCTGACCCTGTGGGGTTTCAGTTCTCCAGCTCCTGGCAGTCCTTTCTTTCCTGCAAATTTAGCTTTGCACTGAAAAGAATTTCTACTTGAGCCAGCATTTCTGTTTGGAGCAGGAGTATTTTCAGGCTATCTTATCTGTCCCATGTTGGAATTGGAAGTCCCCTCAGGGGTGATTTTGGTGGTCAGATTAGCTGAGCAGGAACTGTTTTCTAGAACAACAGGCCCATCTGAGTGGACATGATGCCCCCTAGCTCCCTGTCACGTTGGGCGCATCTGCTCCCGTGAGGAGTGTGTGGAGGCTTATCCACCAGGCACCAGCCTGGCTTATTTCTGTGGCTCTGCCCACACGGATGATTACTTGGTTCTCTCTGTGTCACAGAGGCCTTTGTCATAATGAATTGAGCTAGAGACTGATGTGCCCAATTGCCATGACAGAGGCCCAGCTCGCCTGGCCAGCAGGCCCCAGGACTAGGTGTCTAGGGGTCCTAGGGCACGATGTCCAGCAGGGCCATGCCATTGCAGCCAGTGGCAAGGAATGAAGGAAAGAGGGGCTGGTAATTCCACAAACAGCTGCTTCCTATGGCCCCCAAAAGACGATGTACCCCATTTGCTATGGCCTATTTCCTGAGATGCCCTAAAGGCCTGGGAACCCCAAACAAGTCCTGGTAAGAGCAGGGGCAGCCGAGAAAGGAAAGAATCAGAACTTCCTGCCTGAGGCCTCTACTAGCTGGGAGGGCAGGCAGAGGCTGGGCAGACTTGTCTACTTGGCCACGATCAAAGGAAACATGAGGACTGACCAGTAGGGCTGTGTGTACACCATTAGTGCGGTCAGTAATGGTCCCCACGTGTGTCATCCAGGGGGATGGAGGGGCACTTCAAAGCCGTTCTGCGAAGCCTCGGTGTAGTAGGAGTCTCTGAAAGCTATTTTAGGACCATTATGTATCCGTCAGTGAAAGAGAAAGGGGATGAACAGGAAGAGGGTAGAGACCTCACGGATGCCTTTCTACTTTCTCTTTTCCACAAACCCCCATCCACCTGCTCACTGCTGGGCTGAAGGACAGGGTCACCAGGTGTTTGAATGGACTGATGCCATCCAGTTCAACCTTCTATCTGGTACAGGTTCTGCGACCTCCTTACCAGACACCCCACCCCCACCCCCACCGCTGTGGGGCTCCTGCTGCTCACTTCATGGTAGCGCTGCGCTCATTTTAAGCCTCTTCTTATTCTGAGATAAAAATCTGCCTTTCAGCCATTGCCACCTAGACCCATGCCTCTGCTGGTTGCCGAGTAAGGAGAGCCTCCCACCTTCACTGGCTCAGGAACACAGAGAGGATGTCCTAAGGGAACCTACAGTCTGACAGGGACTGAGAGAACCAGGGCTCCTCAGACCTAGCTCCCCCCAAGAATGTCCATCCAAGGAAAGAGGGTAACCAGTGGGACAGAGGCGTGCCAGGAGGAGGGTGGCTGAGCTACTTTTTCCCTTTCTTACCAGAGACTCGGTTCTGACCCCACCTGTGCATAGGGAAGACATCCTCCCGGACAGGAAATAAAATTAGGTTCTTGAGTGAGCACCGAACATCCAAACTGGAAAGTTATTTTATCCCATTCTTGCGTATACAACAGTGAATTGAAACGCAAAGTGTGGTATGAAGATGCGTGTCCTGTGAAGGATGTTCCTGTTGGGAGGGAGGCCATTGCGAGTTCCCTGGGCTGGGCTCCAGCCTTGGCGCGGGCCATCCGGAGCTCTAAGCAAGTGGTTTGGCAGCCCCCATGCTAGAGCGGCAGGAGTTACTGGGGGTCTTGTCCTTGAAGGCACTGGCGACAAATCCCTATTTCCTGTGTGCCTGCTGGAGGCCCATCATGGTTTTCAAGTAATTGTGCTGGACACATAAAAGGGAAGAAAACCAGAATTGATTAGGAGGTATGGAATGAAGACCCAGAAACCATGCCACTTACACCCACCCCACCATTCTTCCTGCAAACGTCAAATTCTGGGGACAAGGATGCCCCCTGATCAACCCCAATTCTGTTGAGAAATAATGTTCCATTCATCTCCTTCCATAGTTTCATCCTAAAGAAAGTGTGTAAAACTGTTTTAAAATGGTGTGGCAAGGGGCACCTGGGTGACTCAGTCGGTTAAGCGTCCGACTTCGGCTCAGATCATGATCTTAGTTTGTGGGTTCAAGCCCCACATCAGGCTCCATGCTGACAGCTAGCTCAGCCTGGAGCCTGTTTCAGATTCTGTGTCTCCCTTTCTCTCTGACCCTTCCCTGTTCATGCTCTCTCTCTCTCTCAGAAATAAATAAAACATTTAAAAAAATTTTTTAAATGGTGTGGCAGGCATATTTAAAAGGAGACATGTATGTTTCAAGGGCCTACTTGAAAGTTTCTGGCAAGAATTAGGTTAAAAAAGAAGAGGGTTCTATCTCCACAAGGGTAGGCACACATGTAGTCCATAGGGCCTTCCCTCTTCAAACCATCTAACTGTTCACAAATTCTTCCCTTGGAATGCAATACTAGACTCTCAGAAAGCAGGCAGGAAAGGGGCACTGAAACAAACAGTGGGCAGTAAGCAAGTCCTAAAGCCAACCTGAAATACGGGAATGAATCCTAGATCCGCCACAGCATGGGAATGGAAACTGAAGCTCCCATATTAAACTGGAATTCTTTCTCCCCACCCCATGCCACTGTTTTTACTGTGGAAAAATACCTATATTACATAAAATTTACCATTTTAACCATGACATTTTAAAAATTATTATTTTAGAGAAAGAGTGTGTGCACAAGTGGGAGAGGGGGAGAGGGAGAGAGAGAATCTTAAGCAAGCTCCATGCTCAGTGTGGAGCCTGATGTGGGGCTCCATCCCCTGACCCTGGGATCATGACGTCAGCCAAAATCAAGAGTCAGATGCCCAACGAACTGAGCCACCCAGGAGGCTCCCCCCCATCTTTACCATTTTTAAGTGTACAGTTCAGCTATACATTCACAATATGCAATCACATTCTATCATCCATTTCCATATCTCTTTTCATCTTGCAAATCGAAACTCCATACCGATTAAACACTTACTCCCCATTCCCCCTATCCTCCAGACCCTGGCAACCTCCATTCTATTTCCTGTCTCTGTGATTTTGGCTATTCCAAGCACCACATGTGAATGGAATCATATAGCTTTGGCCTTTTTGTGACTGGCTTATATCACTTAATGGCTGGACCATTTTGTATTCCTGCCAATAGCACACATACAAGGGTTTCAATTATTCCACATCCTTACCAACACTGGATTTTGTTTTTGTTTTTGTTTTGATTGCTGCCATCTAATGGGTATAAGATAGTATCTTTTGTTTTGATTTGCCTTTTCCTGATTTATGATGTTGAGCATCTTTTCATGCACTTACTGTCCATCTGTATGTTTTCTTTTGAGAAATGCTTATTCTTTGCCCATTTTTTAGTTTTAAAAGTTCTCTATAGGGGTGCCTGGGTGGCTCAGTTGGTTAAGCATCCAACTTTGGCTCAGGTCATGATTTCACGGTTCGTGGGTTTGAGCCTGCATCTGGCTCTGTGCTGACAGCTCAGAGCCTAGAGCCTGCTTCAGATTGTGTCTCCCTTTCTCTCTGTCCCTCCCTCATTTGCACTCTGTCTCTCTGTCTCTTGAAAACAAATAAACATTAAAAAATAATTTAAAAAAGAACAAGTTCTCGATATATTCAGGATATTAATCCTTTATCAAATTGGAATTTTTGAAGGAGGTTAAAATGGTCCTGGGTTGGCAGTGCCCTGTGGCTAACTGCAAAATCAAGTGCAATTCCTGTCAGGGGGAAAGAATGCACTTAATGCACTCATGACTCCTACAGCTTCCATTCAATCAAACATGAACTTATGACTCAAACACACACACACACACACACACACACACACACACTGATAAAAGCCACCATGAGAGAAATTGAGCAAAATGGAAAACATTTTGACCTTGAAAAATCTGATCCTATATAGTTTACATATAAAAATATATGTGAAAGGTTTAAGTAAATATAAGATGAATGGCTCAAGTACAACATTTGCATATCAAGTTTTGCGTTGGCATGTCTTTCATTCTTTCTTCCTTTATTTTCCTTCCTTTCTTTTCTTTCTTTCCATTCTTCCTCCCTCCTCCCTCCCTCATTACCTCTTCCTTCCTTCTTTCCTTCCTCCCTCACTTTCTCTCTCTCTCTTCTTTCTGTCTTCCTTCTCTCTCTGTCTCTCTTTCCTTCTTTCTTTTCTTTCTTGGCTCCACACTGGACTTGGGGCTTAAACTCATGACCGTGAGATAAAGACCTGAGCTGAGATCAAGAGTTGTTTAACTGACTGAGCCATCCAGGCGCCCCATGTGGGCACATTTTAAACATAAATATTGTCCAATGCAGAGTTCTCCTAGATATTGGAGGATGGTGGGAGAATATAATACTGACCTATAGAAATGCGAGATTCCTCTGCCGAATGATTTAGAATGTAAATGTTTATCTGAGACTTGGAAGTAAAGACAATGCAAGGTTATGGGGCACCTGGGTAGCTCACTCTGTTAAGCTTCTGACTTTTGGTTTTGGCTCAGATCATGATCTCATGGTTTGTGAATTTGAGCCCTACACTGAGCTCTGCATTGACACCACAGAGCCTACTTGGGAGTCTCTCTCTCTCTCTCTCTCTCTCTCTCTCTCCTTCTCCCCTCTGCCCCTCCCTTGTGCATACATGCTTACCTCTCTCTTTCAAAAATGAAATAAATAAGCATTAAAAAAAAAAGAAAAGAAAATGGAAGGTTTGTCTGGAATGTCAAGAGAGAAATTCATGGTGGTAGCCATGCAAATCCCTTTGGTTTGTCTTTTCTGTGATCTTGAAATAATTTATGCCAGTCAAAACAAGTTCACAATAATTTACAATAAAGAATAAAATTTTGGAAGCTCTTTCCTCAAAACCAAAGACCTTTTGGTCCTGTTACTCAATATGCAGGATGACTTTAACAAATTGATCAAAATTAACCTTACCAATAATGGGACAAAGCAACATCTTGTGCCTCTTGTTACAGACTGAATGTTTATATGACCTCAAAACACATTTGTTTAAGCCTTAATTCCTACTGTAATGGTATTTAGAGGTGGGGAAATTTTGGGAGGTAATTAGGTTTAAATGAAATCATGAGGGCAGTGCTCTCATGATGGTTTAGTATCCTTATAAAAAGAGGAAAGGAGAGAAAACTCTCTCTCTCTCCACAAACACATGCCTAAGAAAAGGCCATGTGAGCACACAGCAAAAAGATGGCTGCTTACAAGCCAGGATGAAGGCCTCCACCAAGAAGTAAATCTGCTAGCACCTTGATTTTGGTTTTCCCAGCCTCCAGAACCATGAGAAAGAAATGTCTGTTGTTTAAGACCCTCATGCATGGTATTTGTTATAGCATCCCCAGGCTGAATAAGACACCTCCTGATATGATGTACCATGAAGAACATGAGATCATTCCTGTGGTATTTCTGCCCAAAATGCATAACTTGAACTTAAATCACAAGAAAACATCAGACAAACCTAAACTGAGGGATATTCAACCAAATAACTGGCCTGTACTCTTCAAAAACATCAAAATCATGAAACATAAGGAAAGACTGAGGAATTTTTCCAGATTAAAGGAGACATGGCACCTAAATGTAATGTGTGATCCTGGACTGGATCCTAGACCAGGGTGCAAGAGTAGAACAACTCTAAAAGACACCATTAAGTAAATTGTCAAAGGTTGCATATGGACCTTGGATTAAATAATATTGTTGCATCATTGTTAATTGTCCTGATTTCAAATACTATATCATGATTATGTAGGAGAATGTACTTGCTCTTTTTTTATAATGTTTATTTTTGAGAGAGACAGACAGTGTCAGTGGAGGGGGGCAGAGAGAGAGGAAGACACAGACTCTGAAGCATGCTTCAGGATCTGAGCTGTCAGCACAGAGCCCGACGCAGGGCTCATACTCACAAATTGTGAGATTATAACCTGAGCCAAAGTCAGAAGCTTAACCACCTGAGTCACCCAGGTGCCCTGAGAATGTACTTGTTCTTAAAAATTAACACTAAAATATTTAGGAGTAAAAAAACAAGAGAATGACATGTTCTAAAATTCACTGTGGTTATGGTTGCATTTATCTGTGGATATATGAAAAAAACCACTGAGCTATATACTACAAATGGGCGAATTCTATGGTATTTAAATTATATCTCAAAGTTTTAAAATATGGTTATTCACTTATTTATTTGAGAGAGAAAGACAGAGAGTGTAAGCAGGGGAAGGGCAGAGAGAGAGAGATGGAGAATCCCAAGGAGGCCTTGAGCCATCAACAGGGAGTCCAATGTGGTGCTCAACCCCATATACCACAAGATCGTGACCTGAGCCAAAATCAAGAGTCAGATACTCAACTGAATAAGCCACCCAGGTGACCCAGTTTATTTTTATTCTCTCTTCTAGGTTTCTGATTAGATGTATGTTAGACTTTCTCATTATGTCCTCTGTATCTCTTAAAGTCTGTCATTTCTTCTAGCGTCTCATCTCTCTCTGCTATAATTTGGATAATTTCCTTGCATTCCTATTTCAGTTTATTAATGCCCTCTTCAACTGTGTCTAATCAGCCACTTGGTTTTTCTTCAAATCTGTTTTGTCAGGTTTTATAAACTCTTATTTCATGCCCCTTAAAAAAAAGATAGGGCTCCAATATCCTTTCATGATGAAAATACTCAGTGAACTAGGTACAAAAGAGAGCTTTTTCTTAGAAGAAAGGTTCTAAGAATAAATTTCAAAGTGTGCTACTCAGAGTGTGTTCCCTGGACCAGCCACATCAGCATCATCTGGGGGCTTATCAGAAAT